ATGGCCGGATGGCGTTCACACAGCACCATCTCACTCTTCATGACTGTCGGGTGGAGTTCACACAGCACCAACCTGTTCTTAGTGACTACTGAGTGGGGATCACGAAGCACCTACCCGGTTTTCGTAACTATCAGATGGAGACCACAAAGCACCTACCCGTTCCTTATGACTTTTGGGTGACGATCACAAAGCATCAACCCGTTTCTAATAACTAATCGGGTGATGATCACAAAGCATCAACCCGATTCTAATAACTAATCGGGTGATGATCACAAAGCATCAACCCGATTCGAATAACTAATCGGGTGATGATCACAAAGCATCAACCCGATTCTCACAACTGTCGGGGTATGATCACAAAACATCAACCCATTTCTAATACTCTTCTTATTCACTCTACTCTAGCACTTCTCATTCTCTCTACCCTTAGAGTAGTTGCATCCACAAAGTTCTCTACTCTTAGAGCAAGTGCATACACAAAGCTTCCTACTCTTTCTTAAGTCACTTCTCAATGCACAATTAATGCCTATGGATGGTTCATATCCACTAATGCACTTATGAAATGCCAACATGCAATGTTGCAAGAATTAAGGTTCACTACTCATACTCAAACCTCTATTAGGCATTTCATCAAACAACTCAAGTGCATAACAAAACTCTACTATAACAATAATTCTATGTCTTTCTCTAACCATCCAAAATGGGGAAAAACTCCCTCACATAGCCATAATTCCTGCCATAGAATAGCACTTCCAAAAAGGATTTCTCAATATCCTTCAATTCCATCTCAAACTACATTTCCAACCCACATCTCACTTCTCACAATTGAAGTGTATGAACAACCACAAGCAATAATAATCTCCATTTAAAACTCAATAACATAGCATATAACATGTATATAACATACATACATAATTGCTATTAAAAACCCTAATCAAGAAAATTCTCAAATCTCAACTTGGGTTGGGATTTACTTACCTTGTTATGGAGAGATCTCACTAGCTCTTCCTTTCTCTTGGTTTGCTTGACTTTTTCTCTACTCTTAAACAAAAGAACAAAAACCCTCAATATTCAATATATACTAAAACTCACAAAGCTTCACAACCAAAGCAAGAATCCTTACCTTAGGATGCCTTAGATTGATTTTCTACCCCAAATCACTCCAAAAGCCCTTTAAAACTCCTTGATCAAAAGAAAGAGAAATTGAGAGGAAGCAAGAGAGGAGAGTGGCGATGGAGAAGAAGAATGAAGGGTTTGCAATGACTTAATTCCTTTTAATGAAATTTATGCACAAGCATTCCCATTTTGCCCTTACTCTTCCTTAGGAATTCCATCTATATCCTTTGATTCATTACAAACACACCCCCATATCAACATATTCTCCATGAAAAATCCTTTCAATTTACTCCCCACTTTTCCTACTAATTAGGAGTAGAATGGTCAAATTGCCCTTAAGGAAGAAAAATATCTAAAACTTAACAAACATTTTGGTTGGCACGTCGTCGCGGCAAGGAAGATTCTGTCGCCGCGGCGAAACTGTCCAGCAGCCTTCCGTGGCTTCAACACCTCTTCGCCACGGCGAAGATTCTTCTTCGCCCCGGTAAAGCCTGGAACACTAAACTTCTTCTATTTTCAACCAATTTTAGGGCAAGTATTCAACATATCACTCAATCAAAGGTCAACCAAACAATAATGCTAATAAACCAACTCAAATAAGAGCAAAAGAAGAAACATTAGCTACGTACCTCAAGTGGGGCGTTACATTTCACAAATTGATTCTTAAATTATCTTCTAAGTGTGTGACTCGTAGGCTTCTTATCATATCGGCAATGAGTAGTATCGCGATTAACACCAATTAATTGTTTCACTACACACAGACCAAGATTTGCCTCTAGCAAGGCATCATAGCCACTTGATAGATTTAGATTTAGCAAAAGCTACCTATCAATGATATGGTTACCGTGTAGTCAAACCAGTTCATCATTTGTTGTCCCATCAAGGCTGAGGTATAGAAATAGTGTCAACCTCAAATATCCTTGATATCTTTGTATTTAGTTACTGGATCAATGATCGGAATAATAAATTGGTTTAAGCAACAACTCAATCCCACTGTGGCCATAGATTTAGTGTCATTGTCATTTACTTAATTGTGCAGTGAGATAACTTCTCTCGTACCCGTGAGTGAAGAATCCTTTGTTGATCCACCATAGTCTTGATATACTTCTCGATGCAGCCAATCACTACCATTCTGATAGCTCTAAATAAAACTATGTTGGGCTAGTGTCAAACTACACCAATTGGTGCACAAAGCACTTAGTGATCTCAAGTCTAAGGATCACATGCACAACCATCCGTTAGAGGATTTATTCCATAAACACTAGGGTTGCCATCCGTATGGAATCCTTTGGTGGGTCTGTCTAGTGAACTTGCCTACAGTAAGCACCCAAGTGTTGCACCAGATTGTCAGTAAACAACCTTGACAAGTGAGATCAGTCACTGTCTTTTGACAGGGTCATTCAACACTATGATTGTCTTACCACATTATCTGCATCCTTGGTATTGGGGCTATGGACATTTCTAGAATGGTCACCATATGTGATCATAGGGTTCTCACTATCAAGATTTGAAACACTTGATACCCTCATCACGGTTCTATCATCCTAAGAACATATATCAATACACACAATTATGATTTACATGATTGGTAGCGTGCCGAATGCACCAAATTAATTAACCTTACTGACCGAACTAATGAATTGTATAAAGGGCAAGCAAGGATCGATCCCACAGGGAATGACTCGATTAATTTCTATATTCTAAAACACTAAAAACAACAGAAACGCAAATTAAACTCTAAACAGTAAACTTGACAACAGTAATGAAGGAGGATTTGTAATCAAAGCAAACTAAAGTAGAACAGAGAAATAAAATATCAGGTTAAACAATCAGCTCTCGGTTCAAGATCCACCTAAACAGCTGGAATAAAGTAACCGTAACATTGTTCTATCTCATCATTATGAAACTACTGACCCTAGGAAACAACAAGCTCTGTTACCCGAATTCTCCCTTAGTTTGTCACTACCGAAACAGCTCTTCGAGTAGATACTAACCCTTGAACAACCTAGAACAACTCTCTAATTTAATTCAATGGCAGCCTTAAGATTAGGAGAATAGATCAATCTAAGCAACAATCACGCAAGCTCGGATTATTTAACTTAGGTTATGTTATTCAAGACAATAGACCGAAAACTTGCCTAATCAGCTATCATCATGTGTCACTCTTTGATAGAAAAGGGACAATTACGGATCACAATTCCTAATTCTGCAAACCAATGGCCATTGAATTAAATTTTTGATGACCATGATGTAGCACACTAAATGACAATATGCCCCAAAACTATACCTTGCTCTACCATAAAATGACATTTTTCCCAGTTAAGTACAAGGTTAGTTTCCATGCATCTGTCTAAAATCAGTGTAAGGTTATGCAAGCACTTATCAAATGAATCACCACAGACACTAAAATCATCCATAAAGACCTCTATGATGACCACATATTCGAAAAGATACTTACCATACATCGCTGAAAAGTGGCTGGGCGTTGCAGAGACCAACGGCATTCGACGGTGCAAAAGTACCAAATGATGTGAATGTCGTCTTCTCTTGACTTCCGGCCTATGACAATCTGGTTATACCCTGAAAATCCATCAAGAAACAATAATAAATATGACCAGCTAACCTCTCAAGCATTTGATCAATGAAGGGAAGTGGAAAGTGATCTTTTCGAGTTGTTGAGTTCAACTTCCTGTAATCATGCACACGCGCCAGCCTGTCTGAATCGTGTAGGGACCAACTCATTGTCTTGTTTTTCACACAATGTAACACCAGATTTCTTAGGGACAACTGCACTGGACTTACCCACTTACTGTCGAAATTGGATAAATTACCCAACTCTAAAAGCTTTAGGACTTCTTTTTTCACCACCTCCATCATGGGTATTTAATCTACGTTTGCTCCTGTGTCGGTTTGGAATCTTCTTCCAGCAAAATCCGATGCATGCATATGGACGGACTAATCCCTTTAATGTCAGCTATGGTCCAGCCAATCGCTTCCTTATGTTCCGCAACATTCGAACCAGTTTCTCTTCTTGATTGGGTGTTAACTTATTCGACACAATTACCGGTAGTGTCTCCTTCTCTCCCAGGTACACTATTTAAATGGCTCGTAATGCTTCAGCTCTAGTATAGGGGCCTGCAAACAGAAGGTAACACATTTTTGGTGAGAATCAGGCAGCTTCATAAAAGAAACTCCATACCTTTCTGGAATTGGTTTTAAAGAATGTAAAGCTGCCACTGTTTCCTTCAATTCTTCACTGAGCTCCATCTCTCCTTTTCCTCTAATTCCACATGTTTGAGGGGCAACCTCTAACTCATCGCATTATTCAACTCAAAATCTCTTGCACTATGGAATCAACAGGATCAACACTCAATAGCAAAAATAGATTGAACATCAGTTGGATATTTCATGGCATCAAAATATTAAACAATAACTTCACCATCAAATTCCATCGTGAGGGTACCATCAGAGACTTCTATTTTTGTTCGGCGGTATTTAGGAATGGTCTTCCTAGTAAGATAGGTGCAGGGTCAGGAGAGAGGAATCATCCATATCCAGAATGTAGAAATCAGCCGGGAACACTAGCTCATTGACCTGCACAAGAACATCCTCAACTACCCCTTCAGGGTACGTATTAGTGCGATCAGCCAATTGGATAATAACACTAGTATCTTTCACAGGACCTAGATTTAATGAAGCATAAATAGATCGTGGCATAACATAATCGAAGCCCTAAATCTAACATAGATCTCTCAATCTTGGTGTTACCTACTTACACGGAATTGTAAACATACCTGGATCCTTGCATTTGGGAGGAAGTTTTCTTTGGAAGACTGCTGACACATTTTCTCCCATTATTACTTCTCTCACCGTTTAACTTCCGCTTAGGTGCATAGCTCCTTAAGAAATTTCGCATATCTTGGCACTTGCTTAATTGCATCCAACAGAGGTATATTCACTTCCACCTTGCGAAACATCTCCAAAATTTCCTTATCCTTCTCTTCCTTCTTTGACTTCGCAAATCTGCTAGGAAAAGGTAAAGTATTAGATTGAAGTTGAATTGAAGGGTTAGGAATTACCTTTGATTCAGTTGTAGCCTCTTCTTTCTCAATTTCATCTTCAATCTCTACTTCCTTTGCTATACTTGGACTGTCCAGTTTTGGTTCTTCCACTTTCTTGCCGCTTCTTAGCGTTACTGCATTCACATTCTCCTTTGGATTCACTACTGTTTGAGAAGGCAACTTCCCTCCAACTTGAGCCTCTAAACTACTTATAGCAGTTGCCATTTGACCCATCTGATTCTCCAAATTTTGAATACTTGATCTTGTATCTTGTTGAAACTGTTTGGTATTCATAGCAAGGGACTTAACTATATCTTCCAGGGATGAGTTTGAACTCTGTGAGGCAGGTTGCTTCGGTTGAAAACCTTGTTGTTGTCCATTCTGGAAGAAACTCTGTCCACCTCCTATTTGTTTATTTCCTCCATAACTGAAATTCGGATGATCCCTCCATTCTGGATTGTAAGTGTTAGAGTAAGGGTCATACTGCCTCGGTGGTCCAGGAAAATTTCCTGCTGCATTAACCTGCTCAGCCCCTTCGTCTTGAAGTGTTGGGCACATGTCCATTTGGTGTCCCATTGTCGAACATATCCCACAAGCCTTTACCTGTTGTGCATTCCCTACAGCCAATTGTCTAACTAGAGAGGTAAGATCAGATAATTGTTGTTCAATGGAAGATGTATTTACCTCATTCACCCTTTTGGGTGGTGCATCGTGTCTTATACCAAACTGTTGGGAATTGGCAGCCATGTTTGAGATTAATTGTTTGGCAGCTTCAGGAGTCTTATCCACTAATTCACCTCCACTTGCTGCATCTATCATGTTCCTTTCCATAGGCAGCAATCCTTCATAGAGATACTGAATTAACAGCTGATCACTTATTTGGTGGTGAGGACAGCTTGCACATAGTTTCTTGAATCGCTCCCAATATTCATACAATGTCTCTCCATTATATTGCCTTATACCACATATCTCTTTCCTGATGGTGGCAGCTCTGGATGTTGGGAAATATCTTTCTAAAAACATCCTTTTCATCTCATTCCATGTTGTGACTGTCCCCGATGGTAAATAATAGAGCCAATCCTTTGCATCATCCCCCACCGAAAAAGGGAAAGTTCTCAACTTAATTTGCTCCTCTGTCACCCTTATCGGTCTCATGCTTGAACAGACTACATGGAACTCTTTTAGATGTTTATTTGGATCTTCACCCCTGCATTGGACAAAGTAACCGTAACACTGTTCTATCTCGTCATTATGAACTACTGACCCTAGGAAACAACAAGCTCTGTTACCCGAATTCTCCCTTAGTTTGTCACTACTGAAACAGCTCTTCAAGTAGTACTAACCCTTGAACAACCTAGAACAAGCTCTCTAAATTTAATTCAATGGCAGCCTTAAGAATTAGGGAATAGGTTAATCTAAGCAACAATCACGCAAGCCGGATTATTTAACTTAGGTTATGTTATTCAAGACAATAGACCGAAAACTTGTCCATATCGCTATCATCATGCGTCACTCGTTGAATAGAAAAAGGACGATTACGTATCACATTCCTAATTCTAACGGTAAATTCTGATTAAACAATTTAGCAGGCCAAAACTAAATCACTCAAACACAAGAATCACAGACAATTAATCAGAATAACATAAACAATTCTAATAAAAACGAGATTGAGAACAACGTACTGAAGTTAAGTTACACCAATGACATGAAATTAGGCTTCAAAATCCCCTTGAACTGAAGAAGGAATTAGCCGCACATCTGATGTAGAAAGCAAAAAAAACTAAAGAAAAACTCTTTGCTGCTCCTCCTCTATAACCTAAAAACTTCTAATTAAATAACACGTGTTTCCTAATTCTTCCCCAAGAATCACGGATTTCTTTCCTAGACGTTTCCTAGAGATAGACTTCCAATTTGAACAAATCTGATCAGATATGGACCTCCAGAATTCGTCTCCAGCTTGCACCAGGATTCTCGCAATGTAAAAGATTTTTCTGGGCTCCGTCACTTCATAAAAATTGTAGTATAGGTTGTTATGAATCTGGGCTTTTGAATCACCGTTTTCGATATCTGACGCTCTAGTTAGGCCGTTCGAAGATTCAATGCTCAGCTAGGAATCCTTCTGCAATAGATTCCAGGTCCGTTTTGCAACAACACTGAGAACCCAAACGAACGTGATTCTCACTAATAATACCTTCCTGAAAAGCTTGATTTGTCTACTTTAATTTCTCTGAAGACCACTTTTGCAATTGGGGAATCTACTCCATGAAAAACCTGGAAAATGCAGCACTGGTCAGAATACCGAAAAATCTGGAAAATCTGAAATTTCCTAACTTTTTTCACTTACTTCCTAAGTCTATCCAACTATGCCAAAGTCACAAATAAACTCTAATCAATTCAAATAGGCATAAAACATACAAAAAACATAATATGGAAGGAATAAAAATATATCAATTACACCTTATCAAATTCCCCCACACTTAGCTTTTGCACGTCCTCGGGCAAACTAATTCAAACACTCAGTCATACCAGAACACCATCATGATCATAAGCAACATTATTTAATCCATGTCATTTCATACCTAACTTAGGAAGCAACAAGATAAAGTAAAGTAAGTTAATGACATCGTATCTCTTCATCATTTCTATATTACTCTCAATCAGTCAATGCAAACAAGGAAACTAATCACAACCAATTCAGTGACAACTCACCTCTTAATTTTTTCTCATTGTTTCTCTTTACTACTACAAACTGGGTAGCAAACTAGAAATTTTCTTTTTGGACAATTGAGTGCATTTTTGCTCCATCTCATTTCATGGTTGTGTTTATGAGTGAGTGCGTTTTATGCTCCATCTCGACTCACCAAATACCTTCTTTTTTTCTTTTCCATTTGCTTAAACCCAAATTTAGGACTACTTAAGAGAACAATTTTTTTTTTCTTTTAAGGGTTGTTATACACTCCTCAGTCATGCTTCGTCACCAAGTTCAACACATTATCAAGACATATTGTTTCAAAAACTACAAAGATTCAAATATGATTAACTCTATTTATGAAATTTTGCTAACATCCTAAGTCAGGAATATTCATAACAAGTGCAAGTTTATTCATATCACTAGACATTCAAGACATGACTTAAAGCATAGACCTCCCTAAAAACAAAACCTTTTTTTTTTTTTTGAATAACAGAGACATCTCCTAAAAAAACAGAAAAAAATAAAAACAGAATATAAAACCCACCAAGTCTAACTTCTCCCCCACACTTAAAACTTACATTGTCCCTAATGTAATACCCCAATGTAGAGACAAGCACTAAAACAATAAAAAACTAAAACTAAAATAAAAAAAAAATAAAATGGCAAAACTAAAAAACTAAAGTCAAGGAAAAGAAATCAAATCTATTCTTGGGTTGCCTCCCAAGTGCGCCTTTGGTTAACGTCGTTGCTCGACTCTCCGCATGGTCATCACTACTCATGTATTGACTCCTCCAATCCCACCTCCTCGATAGTGTAAACTTGGAACCCTTCATAGTAAGCTTAAGCCTATGTCCATTGACCTTAAACCCCTTGTTTTTTCAAACTCTGTATTCTACTGCACCATGAGAAAAAACATTAGTCACAATAAAGGTCCCACCCAACGAGAACGTAACTTACCCGGAAACAACTTCAGCCTTGAATGAAAAAGAAGGACTTTCTGTCCAACTGAAAGTGCTTCCTTGAGATCATCTTGTCATGAAAGGCTTTAGTCTTTGCTTTGTAAATGTGTGAACTCTCGTAGGCATCATTCCTCAACTCCTCAAGTTCTTGCAATTGTAACTTCCTATTAACGCCAGCTTCCTTCATCTTCATATTGCAATGCTTGATCGCCCAATAAGCCTTGTCTCTAATTCCACTGGAAGATGACACACTTACCGAACACTATCTGTATGGGACATGCCATAGGTGTCTTATTGCTGTTCTGTATGCCATAATGCATCGTCTAATCTCAAAGACCAATCCTTCCTGTTTGGGTTCACCGTCTTTTCCAAAATTGACTTGATCTCTCTATTTGACACCCTCCGCTTGGCCTTGGTTTGTGGTGGTACGATGTGGAGACCTTGTGTGTGACATGGTATTCTTAGCAATGCCTCTATTGTCCTGTTGCAAAATGAGTGCCCTTATCACTGATTATGGCCCTTGGTATCCCAAACCTGACAAAAATGTAGTTTTAACAAAATCTGCAACAACCTTTGAATTGTCAGTTCTGGTGGCTTCGCCTCCACCCATTTAGAAACATAATCAACAGCTAACAGAATATAACATTACCAAGGAACAGGAAATGGGCCCATAAAATCAATGTCGCAAACATCAAAAATTTCAACAATAAATATGGGAGATTGTGGCCTTTGATCTCTACGAGAAATATTTCCTATTCTTTGGCAATTATCACATGACTTACAAAACATGTAGGCGTTTTGAACAACGATGGCCAATAAAAGCCATCCAATACCTTACGAGCTATCCTCTGTGGTCCAAAATGTCCTCCACATGCATAGGTATGACAGAAGGTTAGAATAGGAGTAAATTCATGTTCAGGTACGCACCTTTTTATCACTTGGTCAGCGCAATGCTTCCACAAATATGGATCGTCCCAAGCATAATACTTAGCATCACTCTTGATCTGTCCTTTTGAGCTCTAGTCAAATCTTTGGCACACGTTAGTAACTAAAAAATTGACAATATCTGCATACCATGGTGACGCCATTTCAATGGAAAACAATTGCTCATCCGAAATTTTTCTCGCAAAGGAAGTTCATCGTTGCCACGAACCAAACGACTAAGGTGATCTGCTCCAACATTCTCTGCTCCCTTCTTATCTTTAATCTCTAAATCAAATTCTTGGAGGAGAAGAATCCACCTAATTAGCCTTGGTTTTGCCTCCTTCTTTGTGAGCAAGTACCTTAGAGCTGCATGATCAGAAAAAACAATGACTTTAGCACCCAATAAATTATGACCGAAATTTCTCTAAAGCAAAACAAAGATAAAAGTTCTTTTCAGTCGTAGAATAATTTAGCTGGGCGCCATTCAAGATCCTGGATGCATAATAAATGGCGTGACATGCTCTGCCAACTCGTTGACCCAAACAGCACCTAATGCGAAATTGCTCGCATCACACATAATTTCGAAAGGTAGCTCCCAATTAGGTGGTTGTATCACTGGTGTTGTCGTCAACAATGTTTTCAGCTTGTCAATGCCTCCTTGCACTGCTCATCAAACTAAAAATCCACATCTTTTTGTAACAATCTGCATAGGGTAAATGCAATTTTGGAAAAGTCCTTGATAAATCTCCGATAGAACCTGCATGGCCAAGAAAAGATCGAACTTCCGCACAGTGGCAGGGTAAGCAAAGCTGTACCAAATCTATCTTAGATTATCAACCTCTATTCCTTTAGATAACAATATGCCCCAAAACTATACCTTTCTACCATAAAATAACTTTTCCCAGTTAAGTACAAGGTTATTTCCATGCATCTGTCTAAAATCAGTTTAAGGTTATGCAAGACTATCAAATGAATTACCATAGACACTAAAATCATCCATAAAAACCTCTATGATTGACTCAACATATTCTGAAAAGATACTTACCTACATCGCTGAAAAGTGGCTGGAGCGTGCAGAGACCAAACGGCATTCGACGGTAGGCAAAAGTACCAAATGGATATGTGAATGTCGTCTCTCTTGATCTTCCGCGCTATGACAATCTGGTTATACCCTGAAAATCCATAAAAAACAATAATAAATATGACCAGCTAACCTCTCAAGCATTTGATCAATAAGGGAAGTGGAAAGTGATCTTTTCGAGTTGTCGAGTTCAACTTCCTGTAATCAATGCACACGCGCCAGCCTGTCTGAATACGTGTAGGGAAACTCATTGTCTTGTTTTTCACCACTGCAACACCAGATTTCTTGGGACAACTTGCACTGGACTTACCCACTTACTGTCGAAATTGGATAAATTACCCAGCATCTAAAAGTTTAGGACTTCTTTTTTCACCACCTCCATCATTGGGGTATTTAATCTACGTTGGCTTCGTTCGGTCGTTTGGAATCTTCTTCCAGCAAAATCCGATGCATGCATATGGACGGACTAATCCCTTTAATGTCAGCTATGGTCCAGCCA